CAGGCCCACAGTGGAACTGGCCCTCTCCTGCTTCCAGTTCTGCTGCTGCATCGTAGCTTGCTTTGCCAGACTCTCTTAATCACTCAGCCATTTCATGCTTTAACCTGGGTCCTAGACTCAGAACTCTGAGCATGAGATTTCTGTGGTGAATGTCAATAAAATCAAAATTAGGCTTGCAGCTTACAGAGCTAATGTTTTAAGCATGTCTTTATTTTAAGTAAAAAAAGAAAACTATGTTTGTGTCCTTTATGAAGTTTATATCTCTGCTACCTGGCATTACACTTTATGACACGCATGGCCCGGCCCGGCCCAACAAGGTCTCATTTATGTCAGATCCGGCCCTCATAACAAATGAGTTCCGACACACCTGGTCTGCTGCATTAATTTTCCCAGGGGTCATTTCCTGCAGGAGCGCACAGGAGCGGAGCTCCGGCAGTAAGGAGCCCAGGGGGTGGGCACATGCAACAAGCCCCGCCCCTTGCTCCCAGCAGCCCTCAGTCAGAGCAAGAAGCAGCCAGGTAAGTTGCAGAGCTCCCCCGCCCCCCCCGGTCCAAAACAGTCCAGTGGCATCTTTAAGTTTTATTCAGGTACAAGCTCTCCCTCCTCTATGAGGGCAGATCTGAACGTTCCCCCTCCCCCCAATAGCTAGCAATCCAAAACAGTCCAGTGGAGCCTGAGCGGTGGGTGTTGCCTTCTGACACACTTCCGGTGATGTCAGGGGGTGTGGCATATGCAAATAGGTTATGCTAATAAGCTATGCTAATGAGCTCCTGCACCTCTTTTTCTATGAAATGACCCCTGAATTTTCCTCCCTTCGGCACTCAGTTCCCTTTCTGGTCGTTGTTTCCCCCAGTTTTCTGAGAGTGCTCTTGTGCAAATATTCCCTTTGTTTTGCTTCCAAGCCAAAGGTAATTCAAAAGCGTACAGATTCCCTCCCCGCCCTTCTGCTGCTCCTCGAACGTCATTCCCCACCCACATCGAGATCATTCGGCCCACTCTGCACCTCCCACCACCCTTCCCCTTTCATCGGTGTATAAGCTCCATTTCCCTCTCATTTTTAAATTTTGTTTACAAGCGGCATGAGTCTAGTGATATGAGACTATCGCTAGACTTAAGAATTGCTTGGGATGGATCCATTTGGAGGAAGAGTGCAATCCGCACAGGACAAGCTTTAAAAAACTGCCAAGATCATGACCAGTGTACAGGATCAAATTAGAGAATCACAAAGAGAAAACCACGCAAATTTGCAAGGAAGGTCAGGAAATTAGCATTACTATGCAGCTACACTAGGGCATTGGCGAAAATACTCCCTTTTTCTTTTTCAATTTAGTGGCAGAAGACTAGAAAAGCTCTCCAGAGCTTCTGCCAGAGGACTTCTCCCCCACACAAATTGCAGCCCTGCACAAAGTGCAGGGGAGCTGCAGCAGACTGAAACCTGTGAGCAGCCAGCTAAAACTTTGTGCACCGGTGGCTCCCTAGCACAGCTTAGAGGGAACCCTGACCATGTTAAATATGAGCAGCCAGTGTGAAGCAGCGACAAAAAAGGCTAATGCGATCTTGGGGTGTATCAACAGAGGCATAACATCCAAATCGCAAGAAGTCATAGTCCTACTGTACACTGCATTGGTCAGGCCACAACTGGAGCATTGTGTGCAGTTCTGGAGGCCTCACTTCAAAAAGGACGTGGACGGAATGGAGCGGGTGCAGAGGAGAGCAACGAGGATGATTGAGGGCCTAGAGACCAAGCCCTATGAGGAAAGGCTATTCATTCTGGAGAAGAGGAGGTTGAGGGGGGACAGGATTGCGCTCTTTAAGTATCTGAAGGGCTGTCATTTAGAGCTGTTCCTGTTGGCAGCAGAGGATAGGACTTGCAATAATGGGTTTAAATTAAGGGCGGGAAGTACTGGCTGGATCTTAGGATCCATAAGAGTTGTGCAAGAGTGGAATCAGCTGCCTAGGGAGGTGGTGAGCTCTCCCTCACTGGCAGTCTTTAAGCAGCAGCTGGACAAACACTTGTCAGGGATGCTCTAGGCGGATCCAGCATTGAGCAGGAGGTTGGACTAGATGGCCCCTTCCAATTCTGTGATTCTATGATTATGGGTATATGGGTGGATGTGTTTGTCAGCTATGCTGCCATGATGGGGAGGGATCCATTCTCTTGATCTGTGGGCCAGAGGCTGCTTCTTTACTTTTGCTTCTGTAATGCTGTCTTATCAATGACCTTGCAGGTTGCCAGTGTAGTGTCTGGGATGCATGGAACCGTGGGAGCGCTTTCGGTTCCCAGCTGCGGCCTCTAACGGTCTGGGACCCCTTCTCCCGCGTGGGAGTCAGGCTAATTGGCCTATGGAAAGGGGTGTGTGCATACAAATACCCTATATCCCATTATGCTTGTAGGAACGTTGCCATTCTTAACAGTGACTTTGTTACTGCCTCTATAGCTCTGCAATAAAGTATATCCTTTCTGATAAGCGTGTACTCAGTTGTTGGCTGTGGAACCTGACAGTGTTGTTGTAACATTGTCACAGAACTGGACCTTGTATATCGAATAAAGGATCAAATACAGTTATAAACATAAGAAGCTGGCTTGTACTGCATTAAACCATTAACTACTAAATAATTTTTTCCAGGCTTTTAAAAAAATGGGCCATTGGTAGATTGCTTTACAGTAAAAGAAATCATGAGTCTTGGATTTTGGTTGGACACAGGAAATCCTCTTCAGAGTCTGATTTACATTCTACAAATGGCAATCTGAGTTATTAAGTCCATTTCTAGCTAGGGAATTTGTTGTGATGGTTCACTAACAACAACACTTTTTCTCCTCTATTGTTTCAGAACACTTTATAACCACAAATGCACTGACCAACTCCATGCATTGGGGTGATGTAAATACATGCATCTCCAGAATTCACCACAATATATATATTAAAGTGCCTGAATTTGCAGATGGAAATACTCCCTTAATCACAGCCCCACTCCCAAAGATGATGGAAGCACTCTCTGAAGCAACTATGGATGTCTGAGCACTGAGACCGATTTCACACACGGCCGCATTTTGACCCGCGGCTTCGCCTAATTTTCCCCACGGTTTCGTGATCCTGTTTTTTGAGGATCACGAAAGCGCGGAGGAAATCGGAGAAAGCCGTGGGTCAGAATGTGGCCACGCGGCTTCGAGTGGGAAATTGACCGATAGAAGCGGGGCAAAGGGAGGCGCGACCGCGGCGCAGCTCTTGTGTGAAATTGGTCTGAGTTTGACTACGTGTCCCAAGTTCTGCAGATAATCCGACACTGAGAAAAACAGATAACGATTTCCAGATATATAACCATTTCTAGTATGGCCTAATTCTATGGAAAATTACAGCATTCAAAAGTGGATCCCGAGGGGCTCAGACTTGAGCAGCTCAGGGCTCTTACCTCGTCATCCTTGTACCACGAGAGGTTCTCCGCTGTCAGGACAAACCAGTACTCTTTAGCGCCACCCTTCATGATGCCAATGTTGTTGATGGTGAGCCAGCCCTTGCGGATCACCTATGTTGATAAAAATGTGTCGGCATTATACACGCTGGCAACGGATAAAAACAGAGAGGTAGAGAAAGTGCCAGATGCAAAAGCAAACACAGCAGCGCATCAAATGGCGGGACTGGCCCCAACATCTTACTCCCGGTCCAAAACAGTCCAGTGGCACCTTTAAGACCCAGTTTTATTCAGGTACAAGCTCTCCCTCCTCTGTGAGGACAGATCTGCACGTCCCGTCCCCCCCAAAAAAGCTAGCAATCCAAAACAGTCCAGTGGAGCCTGAGCGGTGGGTGTTGCCTTCTGACACACCTCCGGTGATGTCAGGGGGTGTGGCATATGCAAATAAGTTATGCTAATGAGTTATGCTAATGAGCTCCTGCCCCTCTTTTTCTACGAAATGACCCCTGATTACCACCAACCACCTCTGATTGTGTACTCACGTGTGGGAATCAAATGACATTAAACAGTAGAAAAACAAAATCAGAAAAGGGAAAACAGGGCACCCCCCACTCAGCATGGTTAGGAGAAGGAAGTCTTCCTGGTGTGGTTATTATTATTATTATTATTATTGGGCTTGCAAGGATCAGTATTTATGGGGAGGGGGGTTGCTTCAGAGTCAATTGAGGCACCCCTTGGATAAAAAATACCTACTTCTAAAACAAGAAGAGATATTACATCCTTGAAGGCAACAGAGCTTTAGAATAAGAGGCAGCCAAGTAAAACAAAGGAGTGCTCCCTCTAAGCTGTAGAGTCCTCTGAGCAAAAATTCCACTTGGTGAGCTCCTGGCCTTAAAGTTGTGAGCGAGTGATTTGGCTGCTGCACAGATTGATTTGCTCCGGAGCCATCCTTCCTGAGCAAAGACAAAAAAATCTGTGAGCCGAGGGATAAAAAACTGTGAGCTAGCTCACACTAACTCAGCTTAGAGGGAACACTGTAAAGTCACCACCTCAACTTTCCCATCGCTTGGTGGTGGGGAATAAGCAGGGCTGTGTGTATTCCAAGACTCAGCATACGTGCAGAAAAAGCACAAAATATGGAATTTGGCACAGGCTAGCTTCCTAAGAATCTTGGTGGCTATTTCTTACTTTTTAAAGGATAATTCTTTAGGCCTGATGACTACCAAGATAAGCTTGTAGCCTCAGAAGCCACAGAAGCAGCTGAACAGGGTTTCCGGTTGTCCAGGTGTGAGGATGTAGTGTCAGGCTATGCAGGCTATGGAGTTCAGCTTCTCTTATCATATAATCTAGGTTACTTCGAAACCTAAAAGTGCAGATTACACACAACCCTGCATAGATACCATTGCATAATAGAGACAATAGAGAGTTGATTAAATAGAAGAAGTATGCAGGCTATGGAGTTCAGCTTCTCTTATCATATAATCTAGGTTACTTCGAAACCTAAAAGTGCAGATTACACACAACCCTGCATAGATACCATTGCATAATAGAGACAATAGAGAGTTGATTAAATAGAAGAAGGAAACAGACAACAAACAAAGGCGTTAATAGCATTAGAAATGTATCTAGAAACAAAGGTGCATCTGGAATTCATCTCCTGGATTTTGTGTGTGCGTGTGCGCGTGCATACACACAGAGGAAGGGTCTGCAGTGTTTGGGTGATACACAGTCACTATACCAGATAAATATCATCAGCCTGGTGGGAAGGTACAATTTTAAAAAGCTCGTTAGGGTGAACAATCTATATTCTAAGAAGAACTTGCAGAATGCGAAGGCTTGCAGAAGTTCCAAAGAACTGACTGGCCCTAAATGTGTGGGTGTATTATTACCACACCTATTGCGGTTCTCGTTCTGTAAGACGCTCCACATTTGCATTTACAACTGAAAAAATTCTAAGGCAAGTAGGGATGTCCTGTATCTATACCTTTTGACATTTTATATGCTTTTAAAAATATTTATTAAATTAATTTCCTGGTTTTAACATAGGAACGACTGACTGACCAGGTCCACGCCTTCTTAGCTTCAGGAATGCTGCTGCATCAAGTATTCCCATTCACTGTACCTGGACACTTTCAGCTCTTGTACATCAGAAGTCCCCAACAGGGCACCGACCAACACCCTTCCTGTCTCCTGCCAAGTCTTTTTTAAAAGTAGGTGGGGCCAGATGGGGCTTTTGCCAGCAGGGCTTCCGATTGGCCACTGGAGATCTGATTGGCTTTGCAGGTTTTTGCTTTGACAGCAGCTGCCGCCACAGCACAAGGATCTTCACTGTGTGACTGAAGGTGAGCTGCATGTGTGCAAGGAAATTATTTTAAAACAATATGTCCCTTTGTAAAAGACATCCTGTTGAACACAGCTTTTGCCTAAAATGCTAAGAGTTACTCTTAGAATTATGTGTAACCTCACTCTTGGGACACTGTGTGGATGGCTCCACCTCTGGCAGCAGCCATTTCGTGGATGTGCCGACCACCCTGCATTGGAATTCGAAAGGTGACAGCAAGCTCAAAAAGGTCGGGGGCCCCTGTGGTACAATCGACTACAAACCGTAGTCTGAAGGCTGCAAGTTATTTAGCATAGGGTTGCCAGGTCTGGGTTGGGAAATACCTGGAGACTTTTGGGGTAGATCCGGGAGAGGGCAGAGTTTGGGGAGGGGAGGGGCCTCAGCATGGCACAACGCCATGGAGTCCACCCTTCAAAGCAGCCATTTTCTCCAGGGGAGCTAGGCCTGCCAAATCTCGCCAAATCGCGGCGGGGGATCTGCATGTCTTTGCAGAATCCTTGCCGTGGGGACAGCGAGACGCGTTGCACCGCCGTCGCCAGGACATGACGCTATGCGTCGCTCTGGCAACGGGGCTGTTTGGAGCCCCGTTGCCAGAGCAATGCGTAGCGTCAGATCCTGGCGATGGCGGGTGCAACACATCTCGCCGTCCCCGTGGCAAGGATTCTGTGAAGACCTACGATCCCCCGCCGCGACCTGGCAACCCTAAAGGGAGCTGATCTCTGTCAGCTGGAGAGCAGTTGCGAAAGCGGGAGATCTCCAGGCCCCACCTGGAGCCTGGCAACCCTATTTTGCCATGTGAATTACTCTCCTCTTGAGTGATCAGCCTCTGTAACAAAGTCATTACTACTTAGCAATAAGGGTTCCGCTGTTAGGGGGCACATACGGGCTCAGGCGTGCTGGCCACATCTCAGACAAATCCAAAAACGAGATGGAGCATCTCTTTCTCATCCACACAACCTTGAAAAGCAATTTTATTTTTTGTAGAAGTGAAACTGTCCCAAACTTTTAATTACATTTTGATTAAAGTGAGGCAGGAGTGCTAGGTGGGAGAAATAAAATTGCTCTGAAGGCTGGATATGGCCGACAGCCCACTAGTTTACTCTCCCTGTTCTTACACTATAGGATCTCTACATCAGTCCAGAGTATGGAGAGTATGGAATTCAGAAAAAATCCACTTTTACTTTAAAATAATGGAAATGTCAGATCTCATGATATCTGAGTAAATTCACAGGCATTCAAAGGCACTTGTTAAAAGTCCCAGGTTCAGAGGAACTTCCAGTGCACAGACTATTTGAGCCCCTTTCTTTCTCCAAACTCCTGGCCATTTTTTCCTGTTTCTTCCTTCTGAGAGAGGGGGAAGGGAAAGGCTATTATCACAACATCCATTTCAGTATTTTAAATTAGGTATTTCTATTAATTTATACCTCATAGTTATTTTTGCAGAAGGATGAAGAGCAAATTAATTACCCATATACATATGGAGCAGGAGCATAACATAAAAGTAAAATTCACTGGAAAGGTCATGCGAACATTTGTAACATTAATCAAGCACTTGTGCTTATTTAAAATCAAGAGTATATTGTTGTTTATAGAAATGAATAAATAGTAAACAATTGTATCCCAAACTGTGTTTTCCTTTGTACCTTCCACTAATTACACAACCTCTGTTGGTTTTTCTATTTCAGTGATTTTCCAGGTTTATGCAATCTTTATTTAATGCTAATAACCATAGGCAAAATCCATTAGAGAATATAGAGCACAGTGGCCAATGGTGTTATCCAATGCAGAGATACACGCCTCTCCGTCTATTGATGTAAAGGAGCTTAGAAGTGTTTAATTCTGTTTAGGATGGCACCAAGACTCCAGAATCAAGATTAGGTACCTTGGCCTAAATTTTGCCCCCGCCATAATGCTGTATTTGGTCTTAGGGAAGCCCTCAGCCTCTTATCTGCAACTGGAAGATAATAATTCTCACCTACCTTACTGTTTTAATAGATTAAAGAAGATAATATTGTATGTGTAACAGGCTCCAGGGCTCTACTGGTAGCAGGAGCTCCTTTGCATATTAGGCCACACACCCCTAGTGTAGCCAATCCTCCAAGAGCTTACAGAGCTCTTCTTACTGGGGCTACTGTAAGCTCTTGGAGGGCCCCGTTCACACGAGGAGCTTACCGAGCTCTTCTTACTGGGGCTACTGTAAGCTCTTGGAGGATTGGCTACACTAGGGGTGTGTGGCCTAATATGCAAAGGAGCCCCTGCTACCAGTAGAGCCCAACACCTTGAACTTTTGAAGGTACTACTAAATATTACTGGGGAACTGTTGAGGTTTTTACCACAGCTAGGAAGTTCTACACTGGAGAAATAAAATGATCGATCTATTCCAGCAATAAGAACATAAGAAGAACTGGATCAGACCAATGGTCCATCTAGTC